AATACATCATACAATATCAAAATCACATTTGTCAATATCACCACACTCTCATCAAAGCTCTAAGAATTGGGAAGCTAATGAGCTCACAGTAGCAGGTGCAAGTTTTCCAAAATTCCAATTCTCACTTGAGAGCTTGAGTTTTATCATTGGCAACAAATTCTGTCAGTTATTTTCCTTGAAGTGACAAGTTAACTTTGGTCTTTTTTTTTTTTTTAAGAAAATGTCTGCCAAATATCCAATTCTGAATAACTGTTGTCCGTCTGTCAGTGGTTCTTTCAAGTAGAAATGATGTTCCATGAGAAAAGTGGCTAATTCGACTCACAAAGGCAATCATAAAAGTGCTTTTCCTGGAGCTGACCTAGGCCTCCTTGTGTAGACAGCGGAAATGCTTTCTGTACTTCCTGCTTTGTCATGCAGAATGTTCAAAAGATTTAATAAAATTGATCAGTGTTATTGCTTCATTAAGGACGATTTGACATGGAACTGGCTTTTTCTTTACCACGAGTGCGTGGCAGCAAAGAATATGATTACTTAGTTCGGTTTAGTACCACTGCCTTGATTCATGCTAAGCCCCTAACAGGTTTACCTACCAATGCTTTTGAACCATTAGAGGACATTTTAACCAGTAAAAAGGGCAAATAATGTCTTAATTTTATTATGAAAATAGTTTTGATTTCATGGACCCTGGAAAGCTTCCTAGGGTCCCCCCACCCAGGGGTTCCATGGAACACACCTTGAGAACTGCTGGTTTAGGTGCCAGAGTCATTCTCAGTGAATCTACATTGCGTGTTGGCTGGGAGGGTTGTACATCAAAATCTCCACGGAAACACTGACCTAACCTAATACTGTCATTGTAAAAATGAAGAAATGGAGGGACAGTGAGATTTGTTTCAAGTCATCCAGCTCGACTGTGGTAGGGTCAGGATTCGTTCCTGGCTCTACTGACTCACATATAGTGGACACGTAAGCCTCTAACAAGGTAGGTCTCTCACACTTCATAAACTTCTTTTAACTCCCTCTCAGACTGCTATTGTGTGCCAGGTACAATGCTAGGTATTGAAGACAGGAAATCAAATGATATTTGCCTGCTCTTTGGGGCCCATTGTCTAGGAAGCCTGGGAACAGGTACATTAAAGGTTACAGGTGCAGCCGGTGGTAAGGCAGGTAAATAGGGACTTGGGAGCTCAGAGGAGGGGTGCTGGGATCTGACGGCAGCTCATAATGACCAGAGTTGGTGATTCTCAGGCAAATGGGGGAAGGAAGAACAAAAGTTGGCCAGACTGTCCTTCCTGTCAGAGGAGAATCCGTGGGAAGGAAATGGCATGGCTGGTCACAGGGACTTGGGGCAATCTTGAGGAATGAGGAAGGGAGGTGGCTGGAGGTGAGGGGTAGGGTGCAGGGGCTAGGTTGTATGTGTCAACCCAACGAGTCTGGACTTTGTCACACAAGCCTTCGAGAGCTAGAGCAGTGGGCTAGAGCATTGGCCAGAATGACAGCTGGGACTTCTTCTAAATACCAGGTGGTCACGACACCAGGACACCAGGTCACAGTACCATGTAACTCACAGGGCCTCTTCTTCCCCAACTACACCTTGAGTCACATGGTCACACACAAGTTTGTAACAGCAATTCTCTACCTAACAGAAAGGAGATCTTGAAGGAACGATTTCCCATGGCTTAGGATTGATCCCATTTTCTTGGCCTGAAACTTGCTACAATGTGCTATTTATTTTTCCTGTGGGCTTTATGGCTCACTCTGGACTCTTAGAAACCATTACCTCAGTTTTGTAACACTGAACAACATAAGATCTGTAATTTGTAATGTGTGGCCTTGCCAGACTGAATCCTAGAAAGTGTTTCTGAGCAGTGGTTTCCAAACCTGGAGAGTCATCTGAGGCAAGTGGTTAAATAAATATGGATTTCCAGGTACCACCTCCAGGGCCCAGGAATCTGTATGTTTATTTTGATCCCCAAGTTATTCTGGAATAGGCAGCCTGGCCCTGGTTTCCTGCCCAGTTATTTTGGGTATCGTGAGTTAAAACTAAAAAGGAACATACATTTAGTGGCTGAGTATTCCAGTTAAATACTGATTTGTCAGATCTCCTGAATATGTGTATATATGGTCACCTCTGTGGTTGGCATTCCTCACATTACATGAAATATGCTCCTCTTTGTGTGAGTTGGAAACATCAACTTACTTCATTTCCCACAATGCTTCTCCAATCCCCAGTCTCTTCAAAATGTTTTCTTTTTTTTCCTTTCCTTTCTTTTTCTTTTTTAGAGAGAGAGAGAGAGAGTGCGAGCAGGGTCGGGGGGAGAGGGGTAAAGGGAGAGGGAGAGGGAGAGAGAGAGAATCCCAGACTCCCCACTGAGCGCATGAGCCCGACGACTTGGGGCTCAATCTCACAACCCTGAGATCATGACCTGAGCCAAAATCTAGAGTGGATGCTTAACCCACTGAGCCACCCAGATGCCCCTTCAAAATGTTTTGTGATGGCCATTTTTCTCTCTTTCCCTTCTTATCAGAGGTATTGCCATGTCATCGGGAGTCATCAATTGGTTTATTTATTTATTTATTTATATTCTTGGTGAGCATATTGTTTCACTTATAGCCGTTTGAATGACTGTATATTGCAAGTGTACACAGACTCTGTGGGAAGTGTTACATGCGGGATCACCGAGATCGATAAACAAGGCTGACAATTCTTGTGCAATCATAACAGTCTGGGCATGTTTGGCATTCCAGAAATGTGCAACATATATACAAACCAAATAAATATTGGACACTAAAGTATTATCAGCTCAGCCTACAGGAAAGAAGAGGCTGCCAGACCCAGACAGGGAGGAATGGGTGGTCCCACAAGAAGCCTGAGAGGTGGCACAGAGCTTGTTACATTTTCAAGGGTCTTGGAGATGACATAATCCCTTTGGGGGCCTTCTGAATAAATTATGATAACATGTTAGGCTTCAATATGGATCTTGCTCATTATGTTTCTATTTCACTCATAGGCATAGAAGCAGGGTCCAAGTTTTCACAAAAGCCCACAGGCCCGGGGGGAGCAGATGGAGGGTGATGACAACATGGCAGAGATCATCCCGCTTAAGGGAGGCATGGGGGTTAACAGCATCCTTTGTCTGCCCCGAGCCCAACATCCAGCTTCTCTGAACAGCTGTGTCTGTTGATACTTAGAGACCACTGTACAGACAGGGACCAAAATAGAAAGCTTGCAGGTGGAGAGAAACCCAGAGAGCTTTTAGCTCAGTGATGGTCAAGTGCAGGGGCAAGGCCCCTATAGGCTGTTTGAGAAGCTCTAGCAAATGCATTTTGGGGGTAGGGTGGGGATGGGAGCATGGATGTAAAAAAAAAAAAAAAAAAAGGTTACAGAACACTGATCTTACCGACTACCTCCCTTTACTGATAAAGAAGTCGAGGCCCAAAGAGAGAAAGTAATTTTCCCTCAGAGCTCATTAAGAGCAGGGCTAGATTTGGAACCAGGGTGTCCTGGCTGCCGGCTGGGCTGCCCCCGGCACAGCATGCCGGCTCAGCTTCCCCCTGCATCTGTGCGGAGTTTCTCATTCTCTCCTTTCACTCCTGTTACTCTCTTCCTGTCGGAAATGTGGGACAAGTGTCATTCTCCCATTTAACAGTGAGGAAGATAAAGTCCAGGGAGATAAAGGCATGGATAGCTCAGAAAAAAAAAAAAAAAAAGATTTAGGAATGAATAAGGATCTTCAATATTAGAGGGCTGGTGTCTGGAGGTAGGAGCATCCCCGTCTGCATGTGCCCCGGGGGCAGATCCAGGACCTGGGAGAGGGGTGGCAGGTGGCAAGTGCTAGAGCTGTGTGCGCTTCAGAGCTCAGAACCCAGGTCCCTCACGAGTCAGCTGGGGGATGCTGGCAAGACAACCTCTCTGAGCTTCCATTTCCTCCACAGTAAGTAAGATGATTACAAAGGATCTGTCATCGCCATGGCCAAAAGCAGATGCCCAATAATTAGAAGGTATTATCAGGGTCTAGAAGTAGGTTTTGATTCATCATAAGAAAAAAACTTTCTATCAAAAAGAGCAGTCCGTAAATGGAATACGCTGCCTTGCAGAGGAGTGAGCTTCCTGTCACTGGAAGCATTTAAGAAGAAACTAGAAGACTAGCAGTCAGAGATAGTATAGAATGGAGAATTGGACAATTGGGAAATTTCACACTTCTCCCAATTCTGAAATTCTGTGCAGTGATCCGGGATAAACTCAAATGTTTTGTATTTTTTTCGGTTCTTCAAACATTCTCTCTGCTGCCTTGGAGCCTCTTCACTCTGTCCAGAATGCTTGGCTTTGCCTATCCATCCTTCAGTCTCAGTGGAACCCCCCTTTCTCAGGGAAGCACTCCCTGCCCAGCCTCCTGTCCCGACTTGACGGAATTGCTAACAGCAGTTGAATGGTTCACATAAGGAGTGAGCCAAGAGGGTAACTCCTGGGCGAAGCCACTTTTCACTGGGTTTGGCTAACTGCTAGAAGACTAAAGTCCATCCATAACTCCTAAAACATAGCTAACCATGTTTCAAAACAGTGAGATTCGCAAGCAGCTGTTCTCCTTGCTTCAGAGCATGAGGCTCTGGGACCTCTGAGTTCCATGTTCACTAGTGTGTGTTGGGTTCTTAACAAGTGCCAAGCACAATACCTCCTGCTGGGGCTTCAAAGGTCAGAATAAGTCACAAGCCCATGCTCAAGGAGCACAGTCTAGGGGAGAAGACTAATAATCTTGATATCAACTAGGGAAACACAGAGCCTACTGTGGATCCTTGAGAAGGGAGCTCTTGGCCCAAACTGGGGTCCAGGGAAAACTTCTTGGAGGAGTTGACATCTAAACACTCCACGGCCTCCCATTCCTGATGATCAAGAGTGTGATCTTATATCTTACTCGGTCAGTGGGTATATCCTGGAGGCAGAGCTCCAGTTAGTTGCTGGGTTTTCATTGCCCCTTGATTTCTCTTTCAGAGCCTCTGCCGAAGTACAAGATGACTTCATGACCTACACGGTGTATGATGACATCATTACCATTAAGCTCATCCAAGAGGCCTGCAAAGTTCTGGGTAAGGAGGAAGAGGGCTTGTTCGGGTGTCTTAGGGCTGTCGTAATGAAGTACAATCAGTTTCCATTGTCCACAGTCGTTCTGTTAAGTCCCTGCGAACACTGAGTTAGCAATCCTGAGCCATTGCTCTGAGAAGGACAGGCTAGGTTCTGGAGAGACTTTGGTCACATTTTCATCAACTGATAACTATATAACCTTGTTTTGGGTGTTTCTGTTTCGAGATCCCTTATTTCATATATATTGTTATTAACATCGGACCCGTGGGCCGGAGCACTAGAACTCATACCTACATGAAGTTCTCTAACACACCTTTTGTCTGAAAGGCACATCACATTCTTCTTGTACTTAGGAGCACTAGGCAGCACTTCAACACTGTTCTTGGGGCATTTTCAGCAGCACAGTCACCCACAAAAAAAGCACAAAAATGTAAAAATGTAGCGTGAAGTGGCTTGCGAAATGGCCACTTAATTTAGAGTATTAGAAATGAGACAAGAACATAGAGCACTGCCTCATTTGACCTTTGCTAGAAACGTGTGTGTTGGGGGGGCTCTAAGTTTTTGCCACTCTGCACCTGCTCCTGACTGCAAATGCTCTGTGGTACTGATTTTGGGCTTACAGATTCATTTTAATGAGTGGGTCAGTTTGCAGATATGGGATCTGCACATGATGAGGATCAATGGTACCACAAACTGGGTACTTTAAAACAAGGGAAATCTATTCCCTCATAGGTCAGGGGGCTGGAAACCTGAAATCAAGGTGTCAGCGAGGCCATGCTCCCTGGAAGGCTCTAGGGAAGAGTCCTTCCTCTTGCAGGTTCTGGTGGTCCAGATGCTCCCTGGGGCAGCCTAACTCCACTCTCTGCTTCCATCTTCTCCCCATGTGTCTGTCTCTATGTCCAAATTTTCCTCTTATAAGGACCCTGGTCATATTGGATTTAGGGCCGACCCTAATCCAGTCACCCACCCTTTCCATTTGAGTAGCCTTAAGCTTCTCACAGCCAAAAATCGTGAATGTCACTCTGAGTTTCATCATCTGTACCACCACTTTCATGGGAGGCCTTGATGATGGCCTTGACAGAGGTTGTAAGACCTTTGAAATGGATCATCATGATTACCTCTGGGTGTTGTGGGGAACAGCTTTAGGAATCCTCTGAGGCCAACCACACTCATGTTGATCTGGAAATAAAGGTGGTGTGTTTTGTGGGGGTATTGAGGGCCCTTCTTCCCCATCTGCTCTGCCATGGGATGTCTTCCCATCTATCCAGGCATTAAAATGCCATTGGCAGGGTCATAACGGGGGGCCCATTGTGGATGGTCCCACTTACAATGCACCTCTACTTCCAGGATGATTCCTCGCACAGATGTATCAGCAAGGGATGGTTTATTATATTAACTTGCTCACTCCGCAGGCCTGGACGGGAAGAGGTTCAGGACAAAGCGAGAATACAGTTCTGCCCCTTTCTAGTTTAATGACTGAGGACAAGTTACTTACTAGGTTATAGTTTTCTCATTGGTCTACGAGAATAATATCTACCCGTCAGAGTTATTTTGAGGATTGAATGAGATGCTATATGTGAAAATGTCAAATGGGCTATCTGGCATAATAATGGCTTTCAAAATATATTTCTTTCTTTCTTTCCTTCCTTTCTTCTCTCTATATTCATTTCCTATTTCTAAATAAGATTCCACTTGGAGGTTCCAAGTTGACATGGATTTCGGGGGAACACTTCAAACCAGTACACCCTCCTTTCCTCTACCCTTCCTTCTCACCAGCACGGAGCACATGGTGAGCTGGGGCCTGGGTAGGAAGGAGTTTCTACTGTCCCAGGCTCCAGAGGGCTTGTGCAGGAAGCCGAGAGAGTCCCCTGGTGCTTCCAGGTTCTTTGACGACATCCCTCTTTAGGTCCCAGTTGAACTTCCTTTGCCTATTCTTATTAGGCACCGTGGCTTTGCGTCATGTTTAGATGGCATCTAGGGATTACTGCAGGCGGACTCTGTGTCAGCATCCTCTGCCTGGCACCCAAGACCCTGGGACAGAATTGTTGCAGGTGTGGGTGAGGCTCGGGAGCCCAGGGCCTTCAGGCTGGATCCGGTGCTGCCCCCAGGGGCTCAGGCAGCCAGGGCTGTGGTTTCCAGCTGTTTTTCCTGGAGTCTCTGAGGGCCCAACAAGTTGGCCTTCTGTCCTCAGGACCTCCTTGAGGGGCGGTCACAGGTAAAAGCCCGGCCCAGGCACGTAATAGTGCTGGAGAACGCACCAGGGCAGTTAGGTAATGCTAAGCCCGCAGAGACAGGTGGCTTCTCCAGAATGCAGATGTGTCAAGTGCTGGTGCTGGATGAGGCCCTGAGTTTCTCTTTCCTCTGAATATCAGAGAAATTCTCTGATTAAAAAAAAAAAATTGTGCCAGCTTTAACCCCATGCCCATGATTTTCCCCTTGGTTCCACATGGCAGTTTGACACCTGTGTCTCTTCTCACAGTTTCCTGGTCATTTCCTGGATGCAGAAAACCTTTCAGGTATCTGCGTCAGGGAGAAGCCCCAAGTCTCTGCAAAGCTGGGAGGGGGAAGCTTTTGAGGCTTAGGGAGCTGAGCTCCTGGTCACTTGCCAGCCACACCTCCTAACAGAACTAGACAAGGTTGTGTCTGAGACTAGACATCAGGTACAAGAATGAAACGTTCATTGGCTCCTTCAGCTCCTGGAGCTCGGGTTCCAAGGGCAGCAACATGTCCTGGACGCCTTCTAAAGCCGGTGCACAGTCTCGCTCTGCAGTGGTCCTCGGGAGGCAGGCAGCGGAGGAGAGCCAACAGGGCTTGGGGGGGGGGTGACAGAATCACAGCTGAGCACCCACCACCACTCCCCTCTTCCAAAGAGCTTCACAGAGAGAGCTTCTAGGAAAAAGAGGGGCCAGGATCTGGGTAGCATCAGAGGCACCTGCGAACGCGCCGCCTCTACCCTGTGTCTAACCTCTTTAGGGGGCTCCTAGACCCCTTTGCCTCCCTGGTGGCTGATGCCAGGGGAAATTTATGCCGCGTTTGGGCTATCCAAAAGCGGGTAGAGTCAGGATTTCCGGAGGAGTCTGACCCCAGGCGTGTACTCTTTAGAGTGCTGTGTTGCCTGCCCTGGGCTGGGAGCCTGGAGACCCACTTTGTAGACCCAGCTCCCCGCGTAGGCAGCAGGCTTCTCGTCCTTCGCTCAGCAGCTTGCCCGCTCCAGAGTGAGCCTCTCGGCCTTCTTGTTTAACACACCTGCCGAAGAGATTATTTTCTTAAACATTGCTTTTTAATATTTTAAAACATGTGATTATGACATTATACATGCTTTTCAAAGCATGAGGGCAGACGCCTTCCTTATTCTGAGTTGCTCATAGGAGAGGCCTGGCCCTTACACAGTGTGGCAGGCCGGCCCTGATTCTGAGTGGGGGCTGCTGTGCTCCAGGCAGATCTGTGTTTAGAGGGTCCACCTTTCTCCCAGCTAAGTCGGGGGAGCGTCCGGTTCCCTTTCTCCCGCAGAAAGAATAAAAATCACGAGGTGGGATGTGACTCCAAACTTGACCCAAAAAGCTGGAGTTTTGACAGAGCTTAGGACATAAAAGAGCATCAGAGCTTGAACCGGATGGTGGGATAAAGCTCTCCTTCATTCTTTCCTTGATTTTCTTTCAAGGGATCCCAGAAGCAGCAGGCTGTAGTGGCTACATCATGCGGGCTCCGTTTGGTTCCGAGCCCTCTGCCAAAGGGCTTCTTGTCCATGTTCTAGGAGGAGTGCCAGGGGTTGGATTCTGCTCTGTCATGCAGATGTGTGACCTTGGGCCAGGGGTAGAAATTCATGGAGAGTTGATCTCCTCCTCAAAAAGAAATCATACTGACTTCAAATGGTCATGGGAAGGAAGGAATGAAACCGACAACAAACATGAGGCACTCAGCAATATGTGGGGCCCAAAGTAGGTGCTCAGCAAATGTCAACTGAATCTGAGGGGGTGGCAGAGGCATTTCTATGTTTGGTGTCTCTGGCTTTTGTCCCTTAAAAGTAGGGCTAAGCTTTGCTGTTCTCCTTAAATGGCTGTAGTATAACGTTCTGGACCCTCTGAGCAGTGACTGGTAAACCACACACAGCCCATGGGCCAAATCTGGCTCCCTGCCTGTTTTTGTAAGTAAAATTTTATCGGAACTCAGCTGTGCGCATGTGTTTACATATTGTCTACGGCTGCTTTTGTGCTATAACGGCAGAGTCGAGGCATTGCAGCAGAACCCTAGAAAACTGAAAATATTTACTATTTACCTTTTACAAAGCCAGTTTTGTCACCCAATGCTCTGGAGAATGGATCTTCTTCAAGATTTTTTTAAATTCCTTTTTACTTGAGAACCACTATGGACCAAATTATATTCAACCCCCACCAAATTCCTATGTTGAAGCCCTAACCCCTGATGTGATGGTATTTGGAGATGGGGCCTTTGGGAGATAATTGGGTTCCCATGAGGTCTTGAAGGTGGAACCTTATGATGGGAGTAGTGCCCTTATAGGAAGAGGTCTCACACCATTAGCTCTCTCTCTCAGGAAGCATGGGCATGTGGCCTTTCGTTCTCTCTCTCTCTCTCTCTCAAACACACACACACACACACACACACACACACACACACACACACACACA